TTTAGAAACATTTCTGCCAGATACTGTATATTGCTTAAATGAGCAGTTATTTTCATACATGTTTAAATGTTTGATTAATTTGCTGTTGTTGGAATAATTGATTCATCACTTTTTCATCACTACCATAGATTGTGGGAGTTTTTAACGTATGAAAAGTGGATATGCTTTGCAGACCAGTACAGGCCAACATCAGCTGCTGTTGCCATTTGAAGCATAATCATAAGCCTAATTGTAAGCCAGCTCCGTTTGAATCTATAATGATTACTCTGTCTGCATCTGTAATGCAGAAATAGAGTTAATTTGGGGAGTCAGGACAAAAGAGGCTTAGTAGTCTGTGTGAAAAAGTCATGCATAAATTCAACTGCACAGACAGCATCTATAATTTTGCCACCAAATTGCAGGCAGAAATGCACAAGGCCTTAGTTCTTTCTGGCTTTCAGGTGAGATAAATACAAGCAATTATCTAATGATCTTTCAAATAGCTTCCTTAGACCACAAGTGGAAGCCGTTTGATCAATGTGCCCTATTCACCCTTAGAGAAACTACACAATAAAGAAACACCGCACAGCATCTCCGCTTGCCTGACTTGCGTATTGATCTGCAGGGAAGTGTGCAGCTTGCAGAGTGTGAACTGAAATTACTCAACACTCCACAAACCGAGCGTACAAGTGGCATATCACTGATCTTCCCAGGCAGAACTAGTCCAACAGTTGTTGAGGCAGAAAGACAGCAGTGACAGAACATGATCACAGTGTTCAACTCCTAATGAGAGTACCTTGTTTTCAGTGAAAAATGAATTGGAATCTTCGCTCGGGCGGAGTGACAGACAGATATACATTTGTGTCGGGCTAGACCTGCATTTTGAATGTGCACGCATATGTGGGCAGGCAATGAGTCATTGATAAAAGACAGCAGAAAGAATATATATGCAAAAAAGTAAACACACAGACAATGGTCTTTGCTTTGGAGTAAAAGAGGGCTACAATTTTGTAGGAGGTTCATACTGCATTTTCCTTACTTTACCCTTAGTGAGAGTCTATCTGTCATTGGGGACACTTCCAGCAAAGACGGTGTCTCACTGAAAACTTTTGGCAGTATGTGGATTTTCCTGAGTAACCACAACATGATGTGAAGTATTTTAAATGGCATCTTTCAGTGCAGTTCATTCAATGAATGAATGATACCTTGGTATTTCGGTATCTGCATGGCTGCATACCAGTAAGCAAATAAATATTTTGGTAATTTTAGTGAACAAACATTCTAGTATACAGTTTATGACATGGAACACGAAAATTGCTGAGTAAAGTTTTAAATGGATTGTAGCTCCAGCTAAACAATAAGAAAAAAAATTGTAAAAGTGTAAAATATATAAATGCAAGACAGAATAATTGTCTGTGGACTGAGATTAGTGTTCATGTTTTAGTAGATACCAACTCATTTCTAGATCTTTTTTATAATTGAATGGCATTTCCCTGATATTGTAATGATTAGACCTATTCTTTTTCAGATTCTGA